TCCTTACCATACTTAAATAACTAAGATACAAAGCTCAAGATATAAAAATCTAAAGATGTTTCGGGGTCCAAAAAGGTGTTGTACGGTATGCCAAAAAGAAAAAAGTGACTTAAGGTGTGTACCTACAAGTTATTAAGGTCTAAGGATAAGAATGTTTCAGAGTTTAAGAAAGTGTTTGAAGGTATACAAATGTAAGTTATCAGATTTCTCTCTCGTTATGCTGCCATTAATAGTCTTAACATTAATCAAAAAATTCTGATAAGCTATTAATATAGTTCTGGCAGAATACTACCACTACCATAATTGAAAGATCAATATTTTAAATTCTCTTCTGGCATAGAACTAAAAGATACTTTTCACTGTGCAAAAACATCTGTTACAGTCATTTCCGGAATAAATATACTGCTATTTATACAATGCATGTGTCTAAAACTTATGTTTTCACAAACTCAAAGATGTATTGTGAGTTCCAGAGAACCAAATTGGAGGATTCCGTTTAAACAGGTCAGATGCCCCCTCTCTCAATTACCAGACCCTAAGAGCCCAAGACTTTCTCCCTTTCCCTGGTCCTGATACCCTCTCCTTCAGTCACCAGGACCTAAAGTAATTTTTTTTTCTTCCTAAACTTAATCTTGTCGTCTACTCTGCCAGTACTTTGCCAGGTCTAAGAGACACCAGAAGGTTCCACAGAACATGGTGTTAGTAAATTGCACAAATCCCCTGCAGTTCAGTTTACTGATTTCTGCAATTATTTTATAATTTATCCTCTAAACAGCCAACTACCCCAGGATGAGGCAGCATCCTAACTTCCTCAGCTCCCACATAATTTTGATGCCCACAAATCAGCAGGAAGCAGTCTTGAGAACCCAGCACCCCCCACTCCCTGTCCCTCCTGCTATTTCCTTTAATTTCCCACTTTTTGATGATAAGAGAAAGATGGGAATGTTAGGATTATGCTGGCCTGCACTGTCATCTGGCAGGATAAACTCAATCAGAACCCTGTCCCTTTAAGAGATAAGCTCCAAAGCCCCACCCACTCTCAGTCTCTCTCTCTCTCTCTCTCTCTCTCTCTCTCTCTCTCTCTCTCTCTCTGTGTGTGTGTGTGTGTGTGTGCGCATGTGTGTCTCCCTCTCACCCCACTGAGGCAAGTTCATTTCAGCTCCCTTCCACTCTCTCTTCCTTTTTGTTCTTCTGAAAGGCAGCTCTCTGTCTCTCTCTTTTTTCCTCTTTCCATTTCTCCTTTTCCCTTTCTCTCTGGCTCTCTATCTCTGTCTTTCTCCCTCCTCCCCCATACACTCCCAATATCCTCTAAATAACTTCTCCATACTCAAGTTCTTTCTACATGGCATATTCTGTTCCCTACCTACATTCCTCATCCGCCATGGTACCTGACAAAAATTTCAGTAATTAGTCTGAGAAAGGGCGTTCAGGATAGCATAATATTCCAGCTGTGTCATGGTTTCTGCTCACAGTACCTGTTAAGGTTTGTAGTGAGAAAAAGTAGTAGGTTAAGCCAAAAACATAAAATATGCAGTTTTGTTAAGAAAGTAGCACAAATAGGTTTAATTTTTTTTTACATGAAAAGGATGGAAATAGAATTAAAAAAAAAAGAAACATTGTTTAGGAGATTGTTAGATTGTTTAATTACAGAGATAATTCACACAAAGTGTTGTGCCAGGCTGTAGAATGGTTGCTCTTCACTGTTCTGAGCTCTGCCAGAGGAGAGAGGAGAAATATCGAAAACTACACACTTAAGAAAGGAAAGGAAAATGAGCAAGTTTAAAGATGTAGAAAAGGCAAGTGTAGAAAGGCCATTGTAGTTGTTAGGGAGTACACTGCCTTGAGGCAAAAGTCCCACAGACTTCACTTGTGTGATGATAAAGACACCCCGAGGAAAGACTCAACTACCTCAAGGATTTATCTTGTGAAAATGCAAATTTATTTGAAAGGAGAGAGCCCTGATGGGATTCTTTGTTTAAAGACAACCACCCACAGAAATAATTTCCCAGCTTCACCAGCCAAGGCACAGAAGCCACCAAGGAGAGGTGGTCCAGTGCCAAGTGCACTTCCAGCTTGCACACAGCTTGTTAGTACCATCATAGTATGCTGAATTTGTGGATGTGCACTGCAAAAGGGTTAGAGGATAATGGAAGCTTGCAACAATCTTCCAGAAAACTCCACAGAGCAAACAAACATGACAGGGTTGGATTCTCTGCAAGGAAGCCATGAGAAGACATTGCAACAGCTGCTTAAGTGAAGCTGAAATGGAAACCTATGGATGCTGCAGATGCAGGAATTCCTGGGACACCTGCTGAGGAAAGGAAGTGATGTGCACATTCCACACACGCCTGTGGCTAACTGCTACCTGAAATTTACAATAGGACAGGAATATTTGGGACTATTGGAACCCAGGAGAACTCACCAGCATTTCCAGATTCTGGAAATATAAATGCAGAACTGCTTTTCACACGCTTCTAAAAACAAAATTGCATTCCAAACGTTTGGGAAATTGTCATACATTTTATCGTATATTTGCAAATGAAACCAAGTACATCAATATACATGGAAAAATCAGGGAGTTTGCAATGTATTTTAACTTATATAAATAGATACTTATTTGGAGTCATTTTTGTAAATACCTGACTTGGTTAAGTACTTTTGAGTGAAAAAACTATTTCTTTAACTAAGAATGCTTGTTATTTTGAACATATTTCTAGAGATGACTCCAAATGTCATATACATTGACTTATCTTTTTTCCTTTGTATGTATGTATGTATGTATGTATGTACGTATATGTGTGTCACTATATAGATATAGATATAGATATAGATATAGATATAGATATAGATATAAGTGATACTTATGGTATTTGTAGGTCATTTAGTCAGGCTGATAGTCATGAGTTTACATGATTGGTAATATTGGCTGTGTTAATGCATATGTAATGATCAGTAGCAAGTGTAACGTGTTTTTTTTTTAAATTTTTTATTCATTTTACATACCAACCACAGTTCCCCCTCCCTTCCCTTCTACCATACCTGTCTCTTCTCCAACCTCCTTTAGAATTTCTCCCTTTTACATGGGAGTGTAAAACCTCCCTTGAGGAGTCAACAAAGCATGGGACATCAAGTGGAAGCAGGACCAAGCCTCTCCCTGCCCCCGTATCAATTTGGGCATGGTATCCCACCATAGGGAATAGGCCTCAAAAAGCCAGTTCATTCACCAAGGATAAATTCTTATTCACTGGCAGGGGCAAAACAAAAAGACCACACCACACAACTGTCATCCAATTCAGAAAGCCAATTTGCTCCCACACTGGTCCCCAGCTGTCAGTCCCGAATCCTTGAGCTTCTAATAGCTGAGTCAACTGTTTCTGTGTTTTTCCCATCATGATCTTGAACCCCTCCCTTGCTCATATCCTTCCCTTGCTCAATTGGACTTGAGGAGCTCAGCCCAGTACTTGACTGTGGATCTCTGTATCTGCTTCTTTTAGCTGCTAGACAAAGATACTATGATGACAATCAGGGTCGTCATCAGTGTGATTATAGGAGAAGCCCAGTTCAGGTATCCTCTCCATTATTGATAGGGGTCTTAGCTGGGGTCATTCTTGTGAATTCCTGGTTGTTTCCCTAGCACAAGTTTTCTCCCTAATCCCCAAATGTCTCACTCTATCAAGATATTTCTTTCCTTATTTTCATTCTCTTTCCCTTCCTCAACTTGACCATCCCATTCCCTCAGGTTTTTATACCCCTTCCATTTCACTCTTACTCCTCCACCCCCAGCATACACAGGAGAGCTTATCTAGTTCCCCTTCCTAGGCTAGATTCATGCATGTCCCTCTTAGGGTCTGCCTTGTTACCTAGATTCTCTGGGACTGTGGGATGCAGTATGGTTATCTTTTGCTTTATATATAACGTCTGCTTATTAGTAAGTACATATGTGTTTTTGGTTGATCTTCAAAATATATAAAGAACTATGTTGTAGGAGGCCGCCAGTTAGTTCCTGGCTTTTAGCCCCAAAATAATCACACAGAAACTGTATTAATTAAATCACTGCTTGGCTTCTTATTGGCTAACTCTTACATATTAATTTAACCCATTTCTATTAATCTGTGTATTGCCATGTGGCTTGGCTTACCAGCTAAAGTTCTGGCATCTCTCTCCATCGGGGCTACATCACTTCTCCTTGACTCTGCCCCCTTTTTCCCACCATTCATCTTAGTTTTCCATGCCTATCTAAGTTCTGTCCTATCAACAGGCCAAGGCAGTTTCTTTATTAACCAATGGTATTCACGGCATACAGAGGGGAATCCCACATCAGAACTAAAGAAACTAGACATCAAAATATTAAACTAACAATTTGAAAAATGGGATACATATCTAAACAGAGAATTCTCAATAGAAGAATTTCAACAAGTTAAACTCAAAGGGATGAAATACATTTAAGGAATTGCTCAATACCCTTAGTCATCAGGGAATTGCAAATAGAAATGATTCTGCAATATCATCTTACACTGGTCAGAATGGCTAAGATCAAAAACATTGATGACAGATTATGCTGGAGAGGATGTACAGTAAGGGGAACACTCCTCCATTGATGGTGGGAATACAAACTTGTACAGCTGCTTTGGAAATCAGTATGGCAATTTATCAGAAAATTGAGAATCTATGTACCTGAGCAATACCACTCTTGGGCATATACCCAAGGTTTGCACAAACATACCACAAGGACATTTGCTTATCTATATTCATAATAGCATTATTCATAGTAGCCAGAACCTAGAAACAATCTAGATGCCTCTCAACCAATGGTTAAAGAAAATGTGGTACATTTACACAATAGAGTATTACTCAGCTGTAAAAAAAACAGTGACACCTTGAAATTTGCAAGCAAATGGATGGAACTAGAAAACATCATCCTGAATGAGCAAACCCAGATCAGAAAGAGAACGCTGGTGTGTAACATGCTTCTAGCCACAAAAGAATCAAGTGTCTCTTACCTCCTCGTTTGTTGATCTTGGCATAGCCAGGTGAATAGCTATTGGACAAGGAGGAGGAGCTGCTGAAGAACATATGGGAAAGCCCAGAGATGAGTGGTTCATCACACTTTTCTGGAAAAAGAAGAGATAGAAAAATCTAACTTCACTAAAGTTCTTTCAAAAAAATGACTGGTTTGTGCTTATTCAAATAACTACTAAGGGAATGGAAACATGGCTTAGTGGTCAAAAGTACTTGCTAATCCGGCAAACAACTCACATTCAATGTCTAACAGTTATATGGGATAAGTCACAAACACCTCAAGCTACAGGTTCAGGAAATCTGATGCCTTTTTCTGGCTTCCATGGCAGACACATGTGTATGTATACATGCACACACACACACACACATGTATACACAAAATAAAACAACTATTCATTAGGCTAGTCTTTAAAATGCACCAAAAAGACTTCAATGATCATAATTTACATATCTCAATTATACCCACTATGATAAACTACAAAAGTAGTTTAAACCATTCTGGTCTAATCCTGAAGCAACAGCCTTGCTCTAAGAGGACTGTAACTGAAATTTAGTCTTTCAGGATCACAGGTAAAATCCAGTAATTTCATGACTAGTGAGATAACACAGAACAATAACCATTCATTGCTCCAGAATTATAGGGGACTCAACTTCACCAAGGTTCAAGGCAAAGTCATAGTGTGCTCCGACATCTGCTTCCAGTCACTTGGAATGAACTTTAAAGTCCTCCAGAACCTACAGTGGGTCTCTCACCTTTCCAAGTACCTTCTAGACACATGACTCCTTCCTCTTCCTCCAATGTCAGGCCACTTACTGCTAGGAGACTTTACATTTACTATTCCAAATGTTCCATGTCTCATACCAGTCCTTTCCCAGGTCTGTGTTCAATGTCGCTTTGCATGCCTAGAGACTGCCAGAGTTGTCACCTCCTCAGCACTCTACTCTTGCCCTGCTGTCCTTCCCAGCACTTGGCACCAACAGGCAATCCATGCATTGTATTGCTTAACTAACTTTCTCTCCTACGAAATTGTTGTCCTTATGGGAGTGAAATCTTTGATGGTGTATGTGAAAGTTACTCCTGTGATTGAGAGCTAAACTGCTAGATGGTAGAGAACTGATTTTCCAAAAGGTAGTCTTTAATTCCTAACACATGCTCACATTGCCTAGGGTTTTGTTTAATAAGATGGGGAATTGAGCAACACATTCTTGAAAGGTTCTCACGTCTCATGTTTATAAACAGAAAGAAAAAAAAAAGAGCTTGCACAATACAGGGAATAAGCAAGTTATGTTGGGCTTTTACTGAAGTGAAGTTAAATCCCTACAGGCACTGAGGAATGAATCCTCATGTACTACTTCGCTATTCAAGTGTTTAAAAATTAGAAGTCAAAGTGAACAAACCTCTTCTCACAACATGCTGTCTTATTTTTCTTAGTTATTCTCTAGCTTCCTCTGGGAACTCTGACAGGTGCGTGTGATTAGATTCCCCAGAAAATCCAATGGAAAACATTGAAAAGATGAACATAAAATATGTGTGAAAAGAAATGTGTTCACAATCTATACAATGTGAGTGGATTTTATGTTTACTGTGAAAATGTACTATTAAATTTAGCTGTAACCAGACAGAGATGCTTTTTTTATTTCCAGTTTTTAATTCTTAGAGTCTAATTTTGAATCAGTTTTGGCAAAGCTCCTGCATCTAACCTGGAAGTGTTCCTTCTGATGTTCACATCATGTTAGAAATGGGCTCATATCGGTGCTGTGTCAGCGCATGCCTTTAAACTGGCATTAGACAGGGTGTTGTGGCAAGATGACGAGAGGAAGGGACAGTATTTTCCCCTCAGAGTGGTAAGGCATCATGACAAAAATTAGACCAATAACCACATGGTAAACAAGAAGTTTAAGTTGGTGATTAACACTGAGGAGGAAGCAGAGGCAGGCGGATCTTTGTGAGTTCGAGACCAGCCTGGTCTAAAAGAGCTAGTTCCAGGACAGGCTCCAAAACCACAGAGAAACCCTGTCTCGAAAAACCAAAAAAACAAACAAACAAACAAACAAACAAACAAAAAAAAACACTGAGGAGGAAGGAGGATCATGGGCTCGATGTTGGTTGGGGGAGGGGCAGCTGCTGTTTTAGAAAGTTTGTTAAAGGAAAGTCTCTCTGATAAAGAAACATCAGAGTTCCCTGACCAGTGGGAAGCCCAAGGACTGCCCACTTCTACCCAGGTCTCCTAAGGTGAGCATCCAAACTGCCTAGGCTCCCCCAAAGCCAGTACGTGCAGTAGGATCAAAAACCCACTGCCATTGTTCTTGAGTTCTCAGTATTTCTCATTGTCTGCTATGTTCAGCTAGTCCGGATTTATCCCAGGCTTTTCAGACCTAGGCCAGCTGGCCTTGGTGAGCGGGGGAGGGGGAGGGAAATGGGAAGCAGTTGCGGGGAGGAGGCAGAAATCCTTAATAAATAAATAAATTAGCAAAAAAAAAAAAAGAAACATCAGAGTAGTTATTGATCAGAAGAAGATGAGGAATTGAGGCATAGAAAAATCAACATCACTGTTCTGGGAGGATCTTTCCTATCTTCAGATACTTGACAACAATAAACAACAAGTTTTTTGAAAGTATTTAATAACTTAATATATAGCTACAGTAATTGAAATAAAATGGCATCTAGAGCAATTTCTTAATGATTTCTTAGCTAATGCAATTAAAATTTAGATGTAAACCAAAATTACTTACTTTTAAAGCCTAAAAAATTGCTTTGGTAGCAATTGATTTTAATACTATGTTTCATTAATTTGGAAATCGATTAAGATACATTTTAAAATTTAAAAACATCAACTAAAATCCTATAATTATCCTTCTAATTATGGAATTGGAGTAAGAAAAATAGAAGTTTGCATACAAACTATTTCTGTAAATGGTAACTGTAGAATGGTCACAATTTAAGCACTGGCAATTTCACAGTTTTCTTAATTCACACACAATATACAACTTCAGCATTAGACAAAACATTTTTTTCCTAAATGACACTAACTACAAATATTTTGGTGCCTTAATTCCTGCCTTATACAGTTTTAAACATATCATGCAACAAAGTCTACTTATTCCATTTTCCATGAATGACTAGTAGATGATCCTATATAAAAGTACTAAACATGAAGTATGAAAATAATATTTAGTATGTACTTTTGTGTTGAGTAGAATGAAAATAATATTTAGTATGTACTTTTGTGTTGAGTAGAATGAAAATAATATTTAGTATGTACTTTTGTGTTGAGTAGAATGTAATCAATTGATAGAAATGTGGAGGTGAGTAGTTTTTAGTCTCCGATCTTTTAGAAGTGTGTGGCCATGAATATGCCAATTCATCCCATTTTTAATATTCAACACAATAACGAGAAAATTTAGCTACATTTCTATGAAGCCCAGAAAATGTTGAGAATTTCCAGTACAGAACTCTGACCCACAGGCCAACATCAAGCCTGAGTTTTCTTTTTTTTTTTTTTCTTTCTTTTTTTTTTTTTTTTTTTTTTTGGTTTTTCGAGACAGGGTTTCTCTGTGGTTTTGGAACCTCTCCTGGAACTAGCTCTTGTAGACCAGGCTGGTCTCGAACTCACAGAGATCTGAGTTTTCTTTTCTAAGAATTGTTGCTAGCACAGAGCTTTAATTAATAATGCGGTATCCATGGATGCTTTCACACAGTGACAGAGAGTTTCAGTACAGGCCAGGAAACCTGTAACGTTGAGATCTTTACTGTCCAACTAGTTGGACACTCACTGGGGTATTCAGAAGAGGAAAGACTAGTGACTATTTACATTGTCCAGAAAGAATAAGGTCTGAAGAACTGGAAAACTGCAGATAGGTGGAAAGAAGGATAGAAGATTCTAGAAAAAAATGAAACAGCTTAAGCATCATCAGAAGTCACAGTGGGTATGCAATTCCCTCTTGATTGCTGAAGCTACATCCCAGGCCTGTGTATATTGCCATAGTGCCTGTTATGATGAACCGTCTGTTTTTATTCTGATTGCAATAATGATTAAGACATGTGGCAACATCTAAAAGCTTGGCTTGCTTATTAGGCTAAGGAATGTATTTCAATATAGTAGTTATAAAACAGTAGGGCATCCGGCAAAGCCCTAGAGAAGGCAAACATCTTAGTAGAGTAATAAATAAAAGTGAAGGGAGGTCTGAGGTAACCCAGGATTGCAGTTCCTGTGTGAGGATGCACACTCTGATTCTACAGTCACGCAGACATTGCGAATTTTTCAACTCCAGAGTGCTTTCCTTCCAGGAAATCTTGGATGAAAGCTAGAGGAGCAGATGGGCCTTGAGTTTTATTTTCATACAATTTCAGTCAATCAGGAGGCAGAATAGCTGTACGAATGCAGCACTAACTCAGGATGAAATGGAGGAAATAGCTGGCAGACAGATAGGAAGTAGTTGTTGCTTTTTACTGACTGAGCATGCTCTTTGCTGTCAATAGTTACAGGAAGAAGTTGGCAAAGTTCAGCCACCCCAGATCGCCTTTAAGAACAAGGGACAAGACACTAGAACTAAGCAGGGACTTCTGGACAGTGCACACCTCACTTACATGTAGGGAAGACAATCACTTGGAAAAGTATATTCTCATTAGAAAGCATCCCCCAGCATTCTCCATGTGCCCTACATCTCTAAATCTGAAGGTGAAGCTGTAGCAGCCCCATCTACACTGTTACTCTGCACTGGGGTTTCATGAAAACGCCTCCACAGTAGGGAGATGTTGAAGAATTTTTGCTGGGCCTCTTAATAGCTAATACTGCACCTCCCATCCACCAGGCTCCAGCCTTACTCTATAAGATCAAAACTGTCTTGAATTCCACAAGGAGCCATGTGTGGATTCTGCTTCCTGTTTTTCTTAGTAGGATTGCCATTCCATTGGGAGTTTTCTGTCTTTGATGCTATTTCAGGCTCTGCAATACTTTCCCAGGGTTTCAGTGTTACATTTTGTTTACTGTTTCTGATTCTGTCTGTGTTGTCTTTTCTTTCACCTTTATATGCACTTGTTTCACGTTCCTCGTGACATCTCTGCTATTTGCTGTGCTTTTGACTGCTCTAT